TGCACTGGGGGAGGGTGCTGATTGCCCACATCCTTGCCTCCCAACAGAAAAGGGAGAAGAAGGAAGAGCAGACTCCTGCTGCCACTTTCTTCTAGTGATGACAGAACCTCCCTACTCACCTTGTATGAGTGAGGAACACCCCTTGCTTGACCCCAGTAGGGGTTAGCCCCAGCAGAGAGGCAGTGGTTCTTGAGTCCCATCTTGGACCTAGAATCACTAGGACCACCCGTGATTGTGTGTGCATGTGGAGAAGCATTTGCCCTTTTGTTAAGAATGAATAAGGCCGATGGCAGAGAATTATTCCCAAAGTCACCTTGATTATTATTCTAAGCATTTAGATCCAGTCAACAGAGCTGGTGGCTACTAATTGGGTCAGTTTTGCTCTGGGTTTCCCACTGAGCCAATCTTTATCTTTTTATATTTGCTTCTATCCAACCTAGTAATGATTTCTTCATGGTTAAAATCAGATCACATGAAGCAGTCTTTTCTTTTGCTCCCTTCTCCTTTGTCCTACAGAAAGATTGGATTAGATCTTGCAGGGAAACCTTGTGACCCATACGTAGACAAGGGCTTGCTGGTATTTTCTGAGTTTTGGTAGAAAAGATTTGCTGGTTACAGGCCAAGAGATAGGGACTGATGTCAAGGAAAAGTCATGGCAACAGGCCCTTAGTTCAAACCTTGGGTCCACCTTTAGCTAAAGGAACATGTGCAGCAAGAGCTGAATGAAAGCTGCTACCAGTCAGGAGAGACACTACTGAGCTAAGTGGATGCTTTGACTTGGTAGAAGGCAGTTAATATTAGGGTTTGGGGGGGTTTACCTTTAGCATTTAATCATGTTAAAGTATGTTAAACCTTACTATTAATGTTAAACGTTACTATTATTGAAAGCTAGATCCTGCAATTTTAACTACTGACTTTCATCAGTTGCTGTCTATCACACTTTCTCTGAGGAGCTCCAGGAAGTCTTCCCCCATCCCTTTTATCATCACAGCAAGCTCTGTGGGGATAGCTGAGATAGAGCCAGCGACTGAGCTGAGATCACCCAGCAAGTGTCATGACTAAATGGGATTTGAATTGAGGTCCTACCCAGTCCTAGTCTGAAACACTAACCACTATACCACATTAACTCTTTGGTGTAAAGCAATCTAGCATGCTAAACTATGAGATCAATTTTTAATGAGTAGAATAATGGACAAGCCGTTCTTTTTTGGAGTTCCTGGTATCATGACTCAGGTAGCTCACTTGGAGCTATGGTCACCAGTTTTGACTCTCCTTTCCATAGATGATCAACAATTTAGCTGGTTAAGGTTTTAAGGAATGGGATCTCATGCCCTTGGACTTATTCAATAGATGCCTTTGGATGTATGTTTTCTATTGTTTGATTCTAGAAATTTTTGTAACTTTTCTCCTGTTTATGTAACTGCTATAGTATTAATTTGCTTTACTTTTGAAACAAATAATTTAATCTAGCAACTTTTAACATATAAAATAAGTGTTTTTGTAATCTGTGCAGGCTTTGCCATCTACTTCGGTTACGGGATCCGGCACAGCATAGAAGCACAGACTACTCGACAGTTAACAACAAACAAGCCTCTGAATTCTGCTGGCTCTGACCCGAGTCCAGATACAGCTATCTGAGGAAAGGAAGTGATGATTCTCTACCTGCTCTGCCTTTCCCACATCATAGTTGCCCTTGAGCTCTTGCCTGCCTCCTGCCCTTCCATATAACAAGCAGGAGAAGGAAAGATCCTGGGCAGATTGTTTCCCCTTGTACCTGCAGGTATCCCAAGCAAGGTTGTCCTGCAGGGGGGACAAGGCAAGCATCAGCCTGGAGGGAGGGGGGAGCAGCTGCAAAGCACTGCAACGCTCTTGCCCTTGGTAAAAACTGACAGGCAGGGAAACTGCCATACACCTGATGTCTGTATTTATTTTCTGGTCATACTGGCTAGAAGTTGCCTTTCTTTTTTGTAAGAAGCATGCGTGTAAGGTGGCTGGAGGTTTAAAAATGGGTCTCAGTGCTCTTTGGTTGTAAATTTTTGCTTTCCTTTTTACTTCTTTTGAGTAGGGTTTTTTTTGTCAGAAATATTGGTGTTTTATATGATTAAAAATCCAAAGAACCATTTTTTTAAAAAAAGGAAGGTCGATCTGTCTGACTGCCAACCTGTTGTGCCAATTTACTTCCTTATTAAGCTTCTGTACTGGGTGGTGGTTTTTCTGGAATCACAGCTGCTTGCTGGGGTGGTCCCAGGTTTCAGCCAAGGCTCCCATGGCACTCAGGCTGTTGAAGAATCCAGCATCAATGGTTCTTCCCATTCCAACCCATCCTGTCTCCTTTGAATGGCAGGAGCTAATTAGAATCCTGCTGTAGCTCTGGCAGAGGGCTGCAGCATGGGACATTCACTATCGAGCACACATCTCTGTTCCTGTGGGCAGTCCCCTTACTTTAGCTAGAGCTCACACAGGCAAACTAGTGATGATGTACATAGAGGTAATAAACCTTCCATGGCTAGAAATCGAGCATTGTGCAAACCCGACACTTGCTTTTTCAGTGGTTCTGTAGTTTCCAACTGTCATGTGCTGTTTAATAGCCAGACCCTGTGCCTGCTTGAAATGTAGTATGCTAGAGCCTGCTGCTCTTTGCCAAAGCCATTTACTTGAAGTATTGTTAACTGTACAAGTTGAAACACACTTCCAAAATTCTGTTTGTCATATGGAGGAAAAATACCAGCAGAGCATGGAAGTTCTGCCTATCCCATTCCTCTTGACTTTACCATGTATCTGTCTCATGCTTTCAGGCTTATTTTCAGCCTTAAAACCTAGGAACTTGTCTGTTTTTGATTATTTTTTTTTTAATTTAGAGATTCTCAATACAGAATTCTACCCAAGTGCTTGGACATGTGTGGTGTGATTTCAGGAGGGGAGACAGCTCTGAGTTCATGGCTCTGTTTGTCTTAATGTAGATCTGTGGGGCAGCTGGATGCATGCCCATGAACCGCTTGGTATCTGTGCTGTGTCAGCAATCTGGGTCAGATGGTTCCTTTTTTTAGGCAGGTGTATTCTGTTACAGGAGGACTTCCTGAACACAACGAAGGCTTAAGAAATGTTCCTGTAAAAGCATGCACCATTTTCGTTCCTGTGTAGTTGCAACACTGCATACTTCTGTGGTGCACAGTATCTAGACCACCTTAATAGTGGGAGCTATGCAGGCTCGTGATGTTGCTAATCTGCAGAGCCTTGAAGGTGGCTGTCTAGTGCATTCAACATTCTTACTCCTAATTACAACCCATCAGTGGCTGCCTTTCATGACAGTGTCATCTTTGGCTGAAGAGAAGCGGCTACAAGATGAAAATGAATTAGGAAATCTCCCTCAGCCACTTAAACTTTGCCATGGCAGTGGAATTCTGCGCCCAGGCACTTAGTTACATACAGGCCACCCTACCCTTTAAAGGAACAGTGTGTGCAGAATTGTTCCCAGATCCTTATCTGCTGTCAATCAGTACTGACAAAGACAGTGTGCAAATCAGCTAATAAAAAGCTACTGGCTCCAGTCTGGGGAGGGTGCTTTTAAAGACAGGGGATTATACATCCTAGGTTATAAATAAGATGCAGTAAACTCAGGTTTTACTGCAGTGCCTATGGGCAGTGATTCTAATTTTCAATAGTTCCCATAATTGCAGTTAACAAAAATAGTTCTTTCTGCCCCCACCCATTATGGGAAGAACAAATTACATACATTCAAGGTGGATCGTTTGTATACTTTATTCTGGAGAATAATAATTAGGTATATAACACTTGTGCAGAAGAGAGTAAAGTGAAATTCTACTGATGCTGCATACATACAAACCATTCCCTCGTTTTTCCTGTATTCAGTGCACAGGATAGTTTTCCTTCATAAGATAAGTCACTATGTTTTGACAGAGAAGAATCCAGGACTCTCCAAAGAAAGGTCAGCGATGACTCTTCTGCTTTTCATGCACAAAATCAGGCATTCAAACAGTCCTATAGAAAACCTGATTCAGTGCCAAATTGTATAGTACAGAAACTTATCCAGGCCTGTTAATTTTACTCCAGCCTAGACCATTAAGTCTTAAATTTTCAAAAGCAAAAGTCTAATCGGAAACCTTTATATATTTTAAGTGCCCAGATAATACAAATTTACAGGGGAAAGGGCAGCTCCAAAATAAAAGAAATACATGGAATAGGGGAGGAAGTAATATGGTAAAACTCATGGGATTAGACTGATTAGATTTGTAATTGTATTTGAGTGTCTATAAAACAATGATCTTCAACCCATTGTTTGGGACCATGAGGTGGGTTGCGGACAACCACCAACCGGGTGACAAACCCCTACAGATCCACTAATTTTAAAGGATATGCTCCTAGCATGCAAGGTTAAGGGGTAGAAACAGGTGGACAGCAAGATGGTGTCACTCAGTAGAGAAGATTCCTCCATGACTGACCATTACACTACTGCTCGGGTTTGCAGTTCTTGACCCTGGGTCTTTTGCACAATCTTGGCCTGGACACCAGTAAAGTCTAGCTCCTTCTTTTCCTGTCTCAGAACCACAGCACTGTATCATGTGATTTCCTGTCATGTTTACAGTTTACTAAGTCCCATACTATCAGCTGGCGTTATATGGGGGTCCTGGATCTTTAACACTAAATATAAGAGCTTCACAGCAGAAGAAAACAATTCCATATTACTTGAACATGGCATGTAATACTTTCCTTTCTGTAAAACAACATTAGGATGCAGTCCCTTGGCTTCTTGCCTTAACTTTGCAGGCAGTAAGAGGAGCCACTAACGTAACTTATTCCCCAAGCCCTAAAGAGGGCCAGTTGGCAGATCACTCTAATGGAGGAAGTGAGTTGGAAGGCCAGAATACTGTAATCTACTCCACTGCAGATAGGAGATTTTGGATTTTTATTAGGATATGAGGAGGCCAACCCTTCTTCGTGCCTAAAGATCTTCCTGCCGTTTAGAATGACCAGTCTGGTCAACGCCACTAATTTGAAGTTACGTACTTTGGTATACATTCCAAAGCACAGTTGCAGTGAGGGAGTTCTACGAAGAGGGTAGAAAGGTATATAGCAGTTGTCTTCTTTGAAGAAAATAGTGCCCAAGCCCATAGATTGCTCTAGCCTATGAAATGGCACAGGAAAGAGGCATGTTTGCTGACCTTTGTACAGCTGCTGAAATGTAAGAAACCAAGCCTAATAAAAGAACAGATGAAAAGGGCCTGGGTTTTCTCTAGAAATGTGGCTTTGCTGTCTGTAGATCTGGACTCCAGCAATTTGCCCCGAGGGAGACAGTTTCAGAACAGTAATTGTGTTACATCCTGAGAATCAGCACTGCCATGATTTTAACAAGGTTTAAGCTCCATCCACTGGACATCTTCCAGAGCCCAGCCTGGAGACTGCAGGAAACAGACAGGCAGATGAACAAGCATTCGCCACAGTCTTTTTCTTTTCCACAACAAGCCACTGAAATTGGGAGAGGAGGAGAGCAAAGTTGAATTTACAGAAGAACACTCTGGTATGGCCAGGTAAACCAAGCATTAGAACCAATAGATAAGGTGTAGGGGGCCAACAAAACTCAGCAAGCAGTGACTTTGAAACAGGTAGATGAAAGCCATGTCCACCTGTTAAAGTAACTTCTGCCATGCCTCTCTAACCACTCCAAGCAGTTTACACGCAATAAAACACAGTCCCTGGTTTACAGGGGTTATACTTATTTTACAGCAAGATTTCATTTTATTAAACTTATTGCACTCTTAATATATAGCCAGATGGGCTCTGTCCATTAGCAAATATCCATCAGTTTTCTTCGTTTAATGAGCCTCATTTCTAGAGTTTGACAGTGGAACTGAATTCTCTGAAGCATCTTCATGTAGCTTCTGTCTGAGGGGGACAGTTTTCATTTTCTACCACAGTTTGCTAAGAGAGATGGGAAAAGGCAGAACAGGACAATTTAGAATTTATTAATACTGGTACATGTTATATAAAAAAATTCTAACAATTAAAATTCTATCAAGAATAGTTCATAACTAACATTTGGAAGAAAGGCACATATATATCCCCCCCCCCCCCCCGCGGTAGCAAATTGGTTAAAGGTCTCTCTCTTCAAGCCTCCATAAGTTCCTTCATACCACAGAGTCATTGTCTCAAGTTTGCTGTATAACACATCTCACTCTACAGCCTTCTCCAGCAACTGAATCCCAAGCCCAGTGAAATGCACTCAAGCTGGTCAGCCTTGTTCAGATTCTCTCTAGCTGGTCCACTATCCCAGTAACTATCACTCCACCTAAATCATCCCACTGTCCACCGAACCCAGGGCAGCACTGTGTCACCGCATTTCAATTTTGGTCTATGTTTTCGCTTTCCCTTGCATTTAATCTTTCTAGCCTTTTATCTGGTTAGGGGAATAAAGATGATTTCTTTTGTGATTTTCTGTGTTTTGTTTTTCCTTCCCAAATTGAAATGGGTATCAGATCAGGGCTTGGGTATATAATAGACTGCTTGGTCCCAAAGCAACTTCCCCAGTGGCAGGGTCTGGACTCTACACATGTAGAGGACACGTTGCACATTGCACCAATCTGGATAACAAGGTCATGTGAACAGACAACTGCAATCCTTTTACCTGACCTGTTAATAAGCGCCACTCTGCTAGTGGTTTGAATTCTGAAAGCAATTCTGCTGAGGCTAGCAGCTCCCTGCAACAGACTGCACTGCATTACACACTCTGCATATAGAAGCCACCCGGACTCTAAATGTAGGGATCCCAAGGAAATTACCTTTCTTTCTAGGAAAGCAAGAGTCTTTTGACATGTTTCTAACATGCTCTTCAACTGCTGATTCTCTTCAGCCAGCCATTTACACTAAAATTGAAAAACAGATGCCATGTTAGATATCACAGCACATGACTTTCCCCACTTAAATATTTTGCAAGCAAAAGGTCCCAGGTTCAATGCATATTATCTTCAGTTTAAGGATCTGAGGCTGGGTGTTGGGAAAGATCCTTCTCTGCTCCAAGATTGCCTGGAGAGCTGCTGTGGCCAGCCACAAAAAGCAATACTGGGCTATGTACACCAATGGTCTGAATCTGACAGAACCTTCACCTATGCACCATCCCTTGTTTCTGGAAGTTCTGGACTCTCAACTAATTGATGTTTAGTTTACGTAAGTACAGAGAGCCAAAACAAAAATTAGATGCTAGAAACTTTATAAACACACACACAGAGACACCCTTGGGTAATTTAAATCTATCCACCTTGATGGCCTTACCTGTGAGCAAGGTGCAGTGAGCTCTTTCTCCAGAGTAGCACTTGGAGCTTGTGCAACAGCCATATTGCTACATGTGGGCTTCTCTTTCTGATCTGAATATGAGAGACAAGTTGTTTTCCATCTTTGTTGACCTGCAAACTGCAGCCTCAAGAGTGTTGCTCCATGGACCTCCAATCTAATATATATTCACCACTAGCGGTGTGCAAGAAGCAATATTTTTTTGGGGGGGGTGGTGGTTTTTGGGTATACGGAACCCAAAAAATATTGGTATTTCCTCATATTCCCAAATCTCAGTACTGGTATAGTATTCAGATTCAGGGAATATTTGGGAAACCTGAATTATTCGGCTCCATTATACCTATGGGGAAGTATCTAGGGCAGGCTGTTTTTTGAGGTAGAGGCACCAAATTTGCAGCATAGCTGCTGGTGCCTCTTCTCAAACCGCCCCCCTCAAGTTTAAAAAGTTTGGACCAGGAGTCCAAATCTATGGGCCCCAAAAGAAGGTGCCCCCATCCTCCATTGATTTCAGTGAGGAAAAAAAGGCATTTAAAGGGATTACGGTCCCTTTAAATGTCTTCTCCAAGCCACGTGACTCAGTGACTTGGAGAATTAACAGGCTTGTCCTTTCCACACCTTCAGAGCTCTCCAAACCATGGAGCTGCATGGCCTGGAGAAGACATTTAAAGGGACTCTGATCCCTTTGAACGCCCTTTAAGTTAGTCTATCTGGCGGTCCCAAATATTTTTGGGATTTTGGGGGCTTGGCCATTTCAGATTTTTGAATTATATCCAAAATCTATATTTGGCTGAATCAATACCCAAAAAATACCAATAAGGTTTTTGGGGGTATTTTTTCAGCTCGGATTTAGCTGAATGCACACTCCTACTCACCACCTACTATTCTGGGGAAGGCTTAGCACTTTCCCCCCTCTCTCCTGCAGTGTCTAGATACCTCAATCTCTCCTACTTCAGAAGACTGCTTGTGGGAAGGAAGAAAAGCTTCTTTGGTCTGCTGCTGCCCTCTACTGGCAATCAACCACCCCTACACCTAATACATAGTATCTTGACAGCAGCCACTCAGAACTCTGTAGGCGAGCATGTATTCCATTCAATGGTAGAAGACTCTAAAAACTGCTGTACCCCAAAAGAAGAGGACAGCACATCTGTTGTGGCTATGGCTGGATAATACTGTGCTTGAGAAGAACCTGCATTTCAGTGCACACAGCAACCTGACATAGTAACAGTTAACAGTTTCACTAGGCATTCCCAGCATCCCTAGCCTGGCAGAGGAAAGTTCTCACCCCACCCCAAATTAATACTTACTGCTGAGGTAAAGTGTTCTTTACAACTTACTTTTGCACAGACGGGAACGTTTAGGAAATGGTTGCTTCAGGGGGGATGCAGTAGCTTTGTCAGATGGTTTATCCCAGGGACGCTTTTGACTTGAAGTCTTAGCGGTTACCATGTTGCCTGAATGCCACACAATAAGAAGAATGCCAACAGAATCCTAGAGTTCCACTTGATCTCTGTACAAATATGGCTTGATAAAGCAGAGTGTTCTGACCACTACACATGGTGGCATATATTTTACCACACCACTGAGGAAAGTTTGATGCCTTCCTCCAGCCTAAGAAGCCTTCTTCCAATGAAAGAGCTCCTTAAGTTAGAGGAGGGGGACACAAAGAAGCTCCCATCATCAGCCTTTCCTCCATTTTATCCTCACAATAACCCAGTGAGGTAAGTTAGGATGAGAGTATGTGATTGGCTTGAACTCACCCAGAAAGCTTCCATGGCAGAGTGGAGATTTGAACACACATACTAGTCCATTCTAACCATTACACCATGCTGGCACTCTAATTTTGCCAATGAATACAACCACTTTAATACTAGCACTGGCCTTCACAAATTGTCTGCAGTTTTAGGAGCCAGCCCCAAAAAATTACAAACCAAACTAATTTTTCAACAGAGTTTTGTATTTTAATGACCATATTTTCTAATTATTGCTACCACAAAACCTAACCTAAACTCCTTTTAAATTCTTCTAATTTTATTAAAGCTCTGACAGAAGTATCATAGTGCATAAGTAAATATGAGCTAATCCTGGTGGTCAACATGACAGCAAAAAGCTAACCTCTAATCTAATCTAAACTCTCCAATTTTATTAATTCTTTAAAAAGCTTAATTTAATTTAATACTGAAAGCAACTGGCTAAGAAATTATTTGATTTACTGCCACTGAATGGTGTAATGTTAACATATAAACAAGCAATGAAAAGAACTTCATGCATGTGTATTTTTACGTCATGCTACAAAAAATTCCGATCTGAAATTATAAATATGCTTTGTATTTCTCCAAGGATCTCCAAGATACACTACAATGGAGTCACTACTGAAAATGGCTCCTGGGATTTACTGAGCCCCATACTAGCATGTTGCAGGTCATAATGAAGTGATGAATCCACTACCAGTCAAGGAAGGCAGAGAAGTCTTCTAAAGATCCACTCACCTCCACTCCCTTGGGTTCATGGGTTTCTTAGTGTAGCCTGCACCTTCAAAATCCCTTCCTAAACATCCCCTGTTCCTTGACTACATACACTTTGTCATCTGGCTAATATTTGGTTTCTGGACCTTCAGAACAGAAACATAAGCCAGCTGGTGAGCAGCAGACTGTCACCTAATTGTAACCTTCAGAAGAAAAATAGGAAATACTCAGGCATTTCACAGTCAGAATAACACACTTCAACCCATTCTTGTCAGACAGACTCCCTCTTACTCACATCTGCTCATTCAGAAACCAACCCAGCTCACCTGCAAAAACTGGAAGCCTTGTTCCTGAAGCATTATTAACTTTAGGTGTACCATGGAGCTTCAGACCCAGACACACTAAGGACCCCTGAACTCCAAATCTACCAGGAAGTTTGGAAGGAGGCTTCTTATTGCAGGGCTGTTCTGTCAGATCTGTCTTGGTTATCTCATCAGATAAGAGTTTCTACATGATACAAGACCCAAGTATTAGATCAGTCAATTTTATTTGATGTGAATCCATTATTCTCTTTATGCTCCCAGACATTAACACTTCTCCACTAGATTGATTTAATAGTTCTAAGAACATTTAAGTATCTGATAACAGATCATAATAAAGCGATAAATAGTTCCCCTTCCAGTGGGGACCCAAAGTGGCTTACAATGATCTCCTCTCCTCCATTTTATCTTCATAACAACCTTATGAGGTAGGTTAGGCTAAGAAAGTGTGATTGGTCCAAAGTCACCCAGTGAGGTTCCATGGCAAGAGTAGGTATTCAAACCTGGTCTCCCAGATACTAGTCTGGCACTCTTAACCATTACACCACACTGGCACTATACCATCCACTCAGTGCCAAAGGAAGTGCAGAAATGGAGCACTCAAATTCAGTTGTCCAAGTAGCAGCTCATTACATGAGCTTCCAATGGCCTTTGTAAGGGGAAGAAAAAAGATATATTCTGCTCACTTTCAGAGATGTGACAGTGAAATACTGTGAGGAATAATCTCAATTTCCTCTTCCCTGTAGATTAAAAGGAATATTTCTGTATCTCCCATCCGACATTGCTGACAACATCTAATGAATCCAGAGGAAAGTAAAGGCTTCCATCAAAGAGAAATTACTTAAATTGCCAACATGGTTTTGAACAGTAGCTAGTTATCACTGGATATCAAGGGTAAATTTTTAAGATTTGACAATGCAGACAAATATATCTAACAAACTATTCTTAAATTCAGTTCTGGCAGCCAGTGACCTAACCTCTAGAACCCATTAAGCTTCAAAACCATGAGATCAAATCACATGAACAGTTCCTGACATCCAGAAAGTTTGAAGACAGATTCTGATTGAGAATGGGGCTGAAGTGGGCTCCTTATTTAGTACAGAGCTGCACAAGTATCCTAAAGCTAAGGTTTGCCACACGCCGCTTTATATGCACTTTATTTGCAAATCACTGCTAATTAGCAAAGGTGATGGTCCTGTGTTTATCAATAAGGTTGGAAACAGGGGCTCTCACAGATAAGCAGGTTTCAGCATTCTCAGGGGACTCCTCAGCTTTGAAAAAAATATGTTTCATAAATTCACAAAGAAAAGAGACCATCACTATTCTTTCGATGCTCAGATAAAAGAACAGTTTCTCCAGGAATAGTTTCTCTCTGAAGAACACAAATTACCCTAGCTTTATCACAAACTATATCAAGCAGCTCTCACAACAGCTACGCAGAGCTTCAAGCAACACTGAGTAGGCGGCCCCCTTGTGCAAGTAGTGGACACATCAGATTTTAATAAGCTACATCAGCCTACCACTGGTGGGGAAAATCCATCTCAAAAGTCACCTACCTTAAGTTTAATCATAATCATAATAAATTTAGACAGAATGAGGCCTTATAACTTCTCATTTGTGGGTAATTAGCCACAGATCCAGTCACAGAGGTTCTGCCCCACAGACTAGTTCCTATGTACAAAATGTTTACTAGCAGAATCAATGCTATATATTGGAATTAAAAATCCAGCAGAAAGCATTGTGTGTTCAATAACAGCAACTCAGAGAAGTGGTTAAGAGTGTGTGCAGGTCAGGCTGCATTTCAGGAATCAACCCATCAATATGTTTATCCAAGATGCTGAGGGAGATCTGCTTGGTTCTATCCTTTCCATTGTACCCTAACAACCCTGTCTGACAGGTTAGGATGAGAGTGACTGTCTAAAGGTCACTCAATGAGCTTCAAGTGAATGGGAATTTGAACCCAGGACTCCCCTCCCCAAGCAAACTGATACACTGCATTAGGACCTCTTCTAGCATATCTTTAAGAGACACCTGTCTTAGAAAAAGGACATATTTTTAGAAGGAAGAAGAAACAACAATAACTCTCTTGGGCTTTTTAAAGGCTTGTGCATGTCCATGCACTAAATCAAACTGGCAGGAGATACCACAATGCCTCCTGGCTACTACCTACCTGGGTAACAGGCTGGCTCTGCACAGCTAATCCTGGTGGAATAACAATGTTCTGTGAGCAATTTCTGCCAGCTGTCTGTGTCATTTTCCTTGTGGTACCAGTGCCTTTGGGAAGGCCTCCTATGCCCGGAGCCCCTCGAGCTCTAAGGGTTCGAAGGGCACCAAGGGACAGACTTTTCTTGGCAAAGGGAGCCTTGCCGGAGACACGAGGCACCTGATCAGCCCCACTGCTGGCGGCGGCAGGATGGCAAAGGTGACCCCGAACCCAGACTCCAGCCGCAGGTCTGCCGGCGGCTTCTGCTTGGAGTCTGACCCAATGGCTGCACGCTTCCGGGGGCATTCTGTACACAAAGCTGCAGGGGATGCCTCTTTTGAAAGCGAAGGCGCCATCAATGGTGTTGACGTGACGAAGGGCAGCTTCCGCTTACAGACCTCAAGGGCAGGCTGGGCGGAGGGTGTGTCTGCAGGCATCCCCTTCTCCCCCGACGAGGGGGACTCGGCGCAGATGTAAGTGGCGTTGGCAGAACTACCGGAGCCCTTGTACTCGTATGTGACGTTGGCCTCGCTAGGCGGCGGCGAGGCCTTCTCCAATTCAGGCCACGACGATACCCCTGCCAGGCCCGAGTCAAGAGACGTGGTGGCGGCGGCGGCGGCGGCGGCCAGCTGGGCTCCTCTGCCAAGAGAAACCCCTGTCAGCCCCGTGCTCTGCTCACCGCATGGTACGGCTCCGAGGGGATCAGGCGGGCCAGCGCTCGCAGAGGCAGGCTCGGGAAGAGGCCGAGGGAGGGAGTGGCCGTCGAAGCTGTCTAGGAAAGAGCAGGGCGGCTCCAGCGGGGTCAGCGTCTCCTCCTGGATGGTTATGGGGCATTGGGGGCGAACCCCCTCCGCAACAATACTCAGCTGGAAGGCCACGGCCTCGCACTCCTGGGCAAAGGAGCTGCGGTAGAGGACGCTGGGCGTAGCCGAGTCAGGAGACGTGCGCACGGCCTGGCCTGTGTCTGCCTGAAGAACCGGGCTGAGGCGCCACTGGAGAGGCGGCTCCAGAGGAGAATCGGGGCTCTGCGGCCTGCTTAGTCGCCTCATAACGGCCAGAAAAGTAGAGCTACTCCTCCCTCAGGCGCCTCAGAGGCCCTGGGTCAGCTCGGGACGCAACAGCCTTTCTCTCGCGCTCGCATTCCGCGCCTGCTCTCCATTGGGTGAGTGTCCACCTATCAGATGGCTCGAATGCGTCTCTTCCAGCTTTTCTCCAACTGGCATCGTGGAGCCGGCCGAAAGGCTGATCACGTGCCGACCGCTCCGCCCGGGGTTGGGAGAGAGGTCAGTTGATCCGGGGCCTTTGATAATTTCCCCTTCCTTCTTCTCTAGGCAATAGGAGCTGGAGTTTCTTTTTGTCTATGGTGGGGAGGAGCTCTGGAGCTTTCAATGTGGTGGGGCGGGCTGCCCGGACTTGCTCAGCAGAGCAGACAGTTGACGGAAATAAAGGAGTTGAGGGAAGCTGCAAGACTGCGCCAGAGAGGCGCCCGGTCACACGGGCACACCCCAACATCTGGGAAGTGGAGCGCACCCGTGGCTTACCACCACAATGCGCCTTGAAAAACTAGTACCTCCAAGGTACTAGTAAACGTTTGCCATGGGCTGCCTCCTGATGCTCGGTGTGGGGCATTCCCCTCGTTTACCCGCCAGCGCCGAGGGAAGGACCGGTGGTGTGCCCCCGGCTGCACCGGGGCAATTAGCCACGCCTCCCCTGCGATATCCGGCCTGTGTGACCAGGCCACAGATTACTTAGCAGACCTGTGAGCGCCCTTATCGGTACTTTAACACACGTGTTTATGGTGGATGCCTCTGGAATAGACCCCACAATCAGTTCCTCAACTGGCAGATTATATACAAAGGTGGTGGTGGAGGGGGGAGAAAATGTAAACTACAAGACGAGACATCCCTGAAATGAAGGAGAAATACCCTGTGATGGTGCTGTAGAATTGGAAAAACTCAACGTATGCAAGCACTCTGACTATTTATAACAGCAGTAGCTGCCAACAATCTTGACTGATTCAGTATTTATAATCTAACCCTTAATTAATTCAATCGGCATTGTAGACCCTAATAGGATAGTAACAAGCTTCTTCAGAATACTATTTCAGCCAGCTCCGGATGAGCTGTCCTTTGGCTGCAGTCACACGGAGCATTAGGCACGCTAGAGAGAAGGAAGATAGGCGGATTTTCCGGGCGTGATCTCACCGCCACATCTGGAAAGCGTAGAGCTCCCGTGGCGAACCCGAGGCTTCCCGCCAAAGATGCGCTGTTAAAAACTAGTACCTCGGAAGTACTAGTTTCCAGTAACCGCGGGGCAAGGGTGGGCGTCTGATCGCGTTTCCGGTGGTAGTTCCGGCGCCCACCCATGCCCCCTCGTATAAAGGTTTCCCCCTCCCCCAACTGTCCATGGGATGCGCATGAGCACCCAACGGGGCATGTGCACACTTTGGTGTCCGGAAGAAAAAAAACACCCATTTGCCGTGCTGCTTCTTTGCCGCGCCGCAGGATTGTGGTGTTTGTGCCGCGGCACCCCCACTACCACCACGGGACCTCCACGGTAGGTCTGCTGGCGCAACCACACATTATTTTCCCCGGGGGCAAACAGCCACGCTCCTCCCCCACATTTTCCTGCCCGTGTGCCTGTGGCCTTTGAAGATCAGTTGTTCAGGAATGGCAAACCCCCCCCCCCCTTAATGCACCACATTAATCAGGCTCTAGTTTTCTAAAGCTTACACCACGATAAATGTTAATATTTACAAGACTTTTAGAGTTTGTATACTGTAATTGGGAAGGCAGAAAGGCCATTATTTCAAAAGCAGTGGGCTAAATATCAGCTGTAATGCTGAACAGTTTAAGAGGATACTGGCATCCCCAATATTATAACTGCCTGCTGAAAGATCAGCAAGAGACACCAGGAAAGCACTTGGATAATACCCACTTGGATCACCCAAAATGTCACATTAATAAGTACTTAACTTCTACACAACTCATCAAGTTAGTTCAATGACTACAAAGGACGGGGAGGGGAACATGTGGTTCTGATCAAGATTATATATGGAAATATAGGATGTTACACATTTAAGAGGATATTTTTAAAAAATCCAGATGAAGCAAAGACTGTTAGAATAATTTTTTAAAAGTTACTCCCAAAATATAAAAGCGAATAGCTGTTCAGATTTCGCTTTACCCAAACAGGAACACACAAGTCCCTTGTAAGGGAGAGATAATAGAAGAAAAATGCCAGCCCTTCTGTTCACACACCCAGAGATTAATTCATCCCCTCAATATTAAACTCCAGCTTTGTTAACAGAAGGGATACCATGGTTTTTTATTCCCTTTTTCTGCTTTACAAGGGGGCCACATACTCCAGTTTGTGCTGAACTGAGAGTGGATGTGTTGTGCTACTTTATTCCATGAATGCTTAGTGCAGCTTGCAGTCCATTTTGTGCACAGCACCATCTAATTGAGCATGCAACCCCCCCTCAAATTTAAGACTGTAACAAACAGCAGATTTGGGGATTTGCTATCAAGGTCTGAAGACTCTCCCCACCCCCAGTCAGCAGTGGGGGGTATTTGAAAATTTTCTCATGGCTTTGCAACAATTTGGTGTCCCTGTGGCACTACCTGAAATATATGCCATTTATGCAGTTTAGACAGCCTTAAGGTGCTTTCCCTAGGACTGCATGGCAACAGTAGTGTCAGCTTTGGACAGTCCTGATTTAAAGAACAGGTGACAAGCTTTACTCCAATTGGATGAGAATACTATCCAACAATGTGATAAGATTGTGCAAGTTATTAAACCACTGCTTATTAATAACAGACCCTTAAAACTTCCATCTTTTTCTTTGAATGGATGATTCAACTCAAGAATGCAGAAATTTAAAAAAGAGTAACTAAACAAATGAGGTTAACTTGGCAAAGTAAGGAGGCCTGTAAACTCCAGCAACTAAATATTCTCAGATCCCCGTAAAAGAGCCTGTTTAAATAATTTTTTTAAAAGCCTACCCCAAATACGAATTGGCTTTGGCTGCTTCTGAAAGAAAAGAATCCTGTTTTTTGGGAGCTAGTTTCATCTAGTTTAGGAAGACCACCTCAAATTTTGGATGCTCAGATAAATGGAAACATCTGGTTTGAGCATTTTTCTAAAGCTTATGAATCCAACCCTTCTATGTTAAAGCTGGCATAAACGGGATTGGGCTTCTGCTCCTGAAATGTAATTGTTATCAAAGTGAGCCCCAGTGACAAGAGTCCGAAATGGAAACCTTTATTACAACTTTGGCTTCTGGCAAATCCCCTGGAGAGGACTTGATTCCTTCATATTTGATACAAACATTTCCCAGGTGGTGGACCCCTATATTAGCTAAACTGCTTAGATAAATAATTCAGGTATATTTCCAGTACGATGGAAAACTGGTATTGTAGTTCCCATCCATAAAAAAGGGACAAAACGAACCCAAAAAATTACCGCCCGATAAGTCTTCTTGACACGGCTTCAAAATTCTATGGGAAATATCTTCTGCAAAAACTGGAGGAGTGGGACAATTGATTACTGTCAAACTTTGTACTATGTGGCCCATTCAACTATGAGCGGACCAACTAAAGCTCTATATACAAACTGTCAATTTGGCCACTGCTTTTGATTCGTTTGACAGAGATCAACTTTGGGATAAATTGGAAAAGATCAATATTGATAAAAGACTATTGTCCCTTATACAAGAGTTGCATTCTGATACATACACAAAGATCAGAGTGGGTACCTCAGGTTCTTTGAGTAGTGAAATTGCGATGGGTAAGGGAGTTAAACAGAATTGCATATTGGCCACTTTAATCTTTAACTTATATATAAACGATATTGTGCCAAGATTATCTGAATTTGTTCTCCCATGATAGGCCAACAGAAAATTTCAATGTTATTGTACGCGGACAATATAGTCCTATTCTCCCTAACCAGAATCGGTTTAAAGAGGAATTTTGATGCCCTGGGGGATTACTGTACAGAAGAGAAACTTTCCATCAATTATACTAAAACTAAAGTAGTAGTTTTCTGGAAGAGGCCCAAAAAGTTCTCTTGGAGTATACATGGTACCCCATTAGAACAGTGTAAAATCTATACATATTTAAGCCTAATTTTTAGTGAAACCCTAAACTGGAACGCCCATTTGGCCTCCATAAAACCCGCAGCAACTAAGATCATTGGAGTGATAATCAGGTTCTACTACACCAAGGGAGGTTTCCTAATAGATCCGGCCTCTAAACTCTTCCTCAGCAAAGTTATCTCCCATCTATTATATGGCACTGAACTCAAGGGCTGGAAGGAACACTCACTCACTAGTCTGGAGGTAATTCCAAACCTTTTTCTGAGACACATTTTGGCACTGCCAAAGCGGTCGCCAGCAGCTCTACTGTGGGCAGAACTTAGTATCCCATCAATTAGAGCTCGTGCCCATGTGGCAGTTTTAAAATCATTGAAGAAATATCACCTGTCAAAAACTGAATCACTTAGTAAAACAAGCTTTTGTTTGTTACTAAGTAAGGAAAAAAGTCACTCTGACTTTTTAAACAATATTATTTTTTGCTATACAGTCCCAGACGATTTACTTTGACCATCAGGGACTAGGTGTACAATGGGGATGCCTTAACTGACCACAATTGTCCAGGCAAAATCTGTTCCATGGTAAAAGCCATAAAGACCATTTAAGAGATTCATATTCAGCAGACATTACTGCATGTAATCTTAGAATAGTGTTTACAACGTTACACTTTCAGGCTATGCCAACAGAACTACTCACTAGACGATACCTAAAAATTCCACAGGAAATCTGTGTTTGCAGAAATTCTGTGGAAGATCTTTTTCATTATGTTATGGTCTGCCCATTGTACTAGAAACCTGTGTTCCCTCTAAGCTGAGTTAGTGTGAGCTGACTCACAGTTTTTTGCCTCTGGCTCACACATTTTTGTCTTAGCTCGAGAAGGATGGCTCCAGAGCAAACCAATTTATGCAGTAGCCAAATTGCTTGCTCACAACTTTAATGCCAGCAGCTCACAAAGTAGAATTTTTGCTCACAAGACTCCACAGCTTAGAGGGAGCATTGTGAAATCAGAAGTAAATTCTTTACAGATCAACTATGCAATTTTTCTGACATAAATTAATATTTTTGCTGTCAGATGTAGACTCCTTTGTTTCTAACAAGGTGGCACTTTTTGCATTAGCAGCTAGGAAAGTCAGATCAAAGGTGGTTTTCATGAAAGCAGCTAAATGAAATTTAAAGTCCTGACATGTCCGAAGACGTTTCCATGGTCATGTGGCCAGCATGACTAAACACCTATTTATCTACTTGCAATTTCTTGCTTTTGAACTGCTGGTTGGCAGGAGCTGGAACTAGAGACGGGAGCTCACTCCGTCATGTGGCACCCGGGTCTCGAACTGCTGAACTACCAACCTTCCACAGCCTGCAGTTCAGCGTCTTAACCACTTGAGCCATTACATTGCCCTGAGCTCACTCATGGAGGATGAAAAAAGTCAAATGAACTGATAAAGATCAGTAGTTGGTTTCTAAAAGGATGCCAGGGCCCACATCTACCTAGAAGCTATACCGCTTGCCTTCTCTCCCTTCTTCACAGACATCTCCTAATTACATGGCCCACAGCTGAGCTCTGGCATCAAGTCCCAGATTTAGTTCTATCAGCAATTAGCATTTCACTCCATTACCATTAAGTTTTTCCTCAGCAACATGAAAGTAGGAGGCAAAGCAAGAGAAACATGAGACAACAGGGCATATTATTTATGGGGTTCATCTCCCTTGCTAATTACAATGTTTGTTAAACCAAATACCAGCGACTCAGAGCCTATTAATTTAGGAGTCACTTGGAACACTATAGCTGTATTGAACACATGCCCTTTCAAGACAAGGATAAAGTCTACACTGCCAGTCTACCTTAAGGAACGATAGGCTGTTCTAGAACAGCCTGACACAAAACATTGTTGCCATTAATGTGTTTTTAAAGTATTAAGATTTAAATTGCTTTTACAATTAAATCCCAAAGTAGGTATTCTAGGTTAAGCAGGCATTTATATTTGTAAATGTCAGAGCAGCAGTGACTTTCCTTATGGTTCTCCCATAATCAAGCACTCTATCATGAGAGCACAAAGTCCAATCCTGTGCATACTTATTCAAGCATAAAGCCTACTGAATACAATGGAGCTTCTTCCCACCTAAATTAGGTTAAGATTTCAGCCTTAGATACCCTTTACAATGCTCCCTGGCATTCCACAGTTATTGTGGGAGTGGAATGGAAAGGAGATGATACAACCCCTAGGATGCTTTGACTTCACTAAGGTCTATCCATAGACATTTAAAGCAGGCGACTTTACACGGACACATATTGGCTTCACAGTGGTTTAATATGAACAAATCTTGGACATTACATTAGACAGTAAACCAAAGACAGTTTGCTGAATTATAAGCCCCACATCAGAATATATGCACAGCAGTAACAGCCTTGGATCTTCAGCTTTGTGCACCAATGAAGGGTTCAAAAAACCCTTAGCTAATGCTGATCCAGGAGGAAGCAGCAGGCTGCTTCAAACAGAAAAGTTAGCAAGGTTCCACAACAGATAGCACCTCTCCAGCAACAAACAGGTTTGCCCTGTGCTTGGGCAGTTTTTTCCTAGTGTTTTCTGTGGCAGCCCAGAGGAGATTCTTTTCTGCTTACCCTCATACATTAGATAGTGAGCTACTCCTGTCTCTCTCCCCTCCTCCCACCCAAGCATATACACAGTTTTGTACAAAGGTATCTGTCCTCTGATGTTTTCCCCATGCCAAGTAGTGGAAGAGGCAGAAGATACACAACTTTTGAAGTCTGTAACTCCCCCCCCCCCCATCTAGACAACATCTAGAGTTAAAGGGGCCCTTTGAAGAGGCTCCTTATATGACTTGAAGAGCAACTGCAGGGCCTTCTAATATACATTCCTAATGAATAATAAATAGTGAAGTTAACATTGTAGCCACAGATGGAGGCAAACAAATGTAACTGAAGACACCTAACGATGACAGAGTCTGTATGTTGAACATACTTCAGCTTTGGCTGCTTACTATGCCTCTAGCTTGGCAGTCCTTGCAGAAACACTGCTCTGCAGGCTTTAAAGTCAAGTTGCCTAAGAAATCAGCTGCCTTATTTACCCAGCAGGATTCTGGCATCAAGGCCAATCACAACTGGAGACGGGAGGAGGGTGTCTCCCTACTACGGGAAGCAGTGGCTTTTAACAATATGCCCGATGCCTTGGATAAAAATTTTCCCCTTGACTTCAGAGATTCAAAGCTAAAGACATTC